AGGGCCGGGGGGGGGGGGAAGCCCCGGGGGGGGGGGGGGGGCTGCCTAGAGAGCCCTTAGCCAAGCCTTACGTCTTTGGCTAAGGACGGGCCACCATCGGGTGGGAGGGGTGCGAGTGCGAGTTCTACCTTTGCAGGCCTTTAGATTGCAGAAGCGCCGCTCGGTGTTGCCGGTGAGGATGTCTTGGCACCAGTGGCCCCCTTCCCCGGGGGGGCTGTAGGTGCGCAGGCGCCGCTGCTGCCCGACTCCACAGCTGCGCGACAAGCCTTACGTCTTTGGCTAAGGACGGGCCACCATCGGGTGGGAGGGGTGCGAGTGCGAGTTCTACCTTTGCAGGCCTTTAGATTGCAGAAGCGCCGCTCGGTGTTGCCGGTGAGGATGTCTTGGCACCAGTGGCCCCCTTCCCCGGGGGGGCTGTAGGTGCGCAGGCGCCGCTGCTGCCCGACTCCACAGCTGCGCGAACACTCGCTCCAGGGAGACCACGGATGCCACGTGCAGTTCATGCCCTGGCACTCTTCGCCCTGGCACGGCCCAGCCTCTGGGAAGCGCGAGGAGGAAAGGGGTGAGGGGTGGAGAGGGGCTTCCTCAGTCCCTTTGAGGGCAAGGCGGCCAGAGGGGGGCCCTGCACGCCTGCTGCGGGAGGAGGGAGGGGGCTTGCCCAGGAGCGCCCGAATCCCAAATGTATGGGAGGTGGAGGTGGCTGAGAAGAAAGCCCTCTGTGCATGCCCGGAGGTGCCGTCTCCTTGAGCATACGACACTTCAGAGGGCTGAAAAACACATGCCCTCAGAGCAGGACCCAGTGCAGGACAGGCGCAGAGAGGGGAAGAGCGATCAGAACTCAGAAAAGGTAGCCTCTAGAGTAGACCGACTGCCTTCCAGAAACTAACCCTGCCCAGCTAGGTGGCAGGGAGGTGCCTGCAGCCCACTCGCAGCCAGCCAGCCAGCCAGCCGGGGAGGCCGAGGCAAGAGAGACAGCCTTCGGGGTGTGCGTGTGTGCGCGTGTCTCACAGAGTGCACCTCCTCTCACCTGTGCACTGGGGCAGGTTGCACTCTTGCTCCTGGAAAGGCTCTCCGGTGCAGTTGGCCCCTCCCGGGCAGAACCGCAGGCGGGTCTTGATGGCCGGGAAGGCCGGGTCACTGCAGGTCTTTGAGCAGGGCGTCCAGGGGGACCAGGGACTGAAGCGGTCCTCCTTGGAGCCTGGGGGTGGGCGAGGGAGGGAGGGAGGAAAAGGAAGGAAGGAAGGAAGGAGGAAGGCAAGGGCATTCCTTTCATGTTCCTCTCTGTGTGGAGCTGTCGCTCCCCCCCCACAAGGCCGGGGGTGGGGAGGGGGTTCCGGATCGGGCTTGGTCCTCCCCATTCCCTCGTGCAGGGATTCCTTGCCCCCCCTTACCTGCGGTGCCAGAGACGGGCTCTTTTGTGGGCAATGCCACGGCTGTGAGGAAGAAAAGAGGAGACTGGGCTAAGCGCAGAGCAGTGGCCCCAATCCGAGGGCCCCCTCCCCTCATTGTGGTGGTGGGCTCCCTCTAGGCTCTGCTGCTCGGACAGCTCAGGAAACCCAGAGGCTCCAATTTCCACAGGGTGGGGGACCCCGGGGGCCAGCTACCCCCTCCATCTGCCTGTCCTGCCTCACAAGCCTGCTGTGAGTCGTGGGAAAGAAACGCGCCAGCATCACATGAGACTCTGGGTCGAAAGACTCAGGCAGACAAAGGGTTCCCCCTTAAATTGGCCGCCGCCCCCTCGGACAAAACATGCGAGTCCAGCCTCCAGACATCCGAGGGCACCCGCTCGTTCCCAGCGGCCCCACCCAGCCTGGGTGCAGGACTATAGGAGCCGTAGCACCTCAACATCTGGAGGGTGCCCAGGGCAGGCACAGGCCCCCGGGTAAGGGCGAGGGCCAGGCTGCCCGCCAGGTCTTACCGTGGCAGTCCAGCGTCTGGCAATACTTAAGGTCCACCCGGGGGCCAGCGCAGTCTTGGCCCCCGTTGGCAGGCACGGGGCTGGTGCAGTGTCGGGACCTGGTCATGTTCCCGAGCCCCCCGCAGGTCAAGGAGCAGGGGGTCCATGGAGTCCAGGGGGTGAACCCCCCATCCACGGAGCAGAGGGAGAAGATGCAGGCCAGCTGCCCGTTGTCGCAAGAGCTGGAGGGGGAGGAGAAAAGCACTGTGACAGGCCAAGCGGCGATTAGAGCTCTGGCCAAGGCAGATACTGGGTGCAGGTCCTGGCACGACCGGAGGTTGGACTCCAATCCCCAGAATCCCCAAACTGGACACTGGTCCAGGGGATGCTGGGAGCCCTCTTCCAAAAAAAGGCAATCCTTCCCTAGCTCTGGGTCAGAGGACGGGAGGCTCCCCCAGGCTGGCTCTCCCGCTTGCTCCCTGATGCTGGACGGGAAAAGCCAGGCTCTGACCCCACACCCTGCCGGTCAGGAAAGAGAAGGAAAGTGCCTCTGAGCAGGGGAGGAACGGAAGAAGTGTCCTCCCGCTGAGTCAGGCCCTGGGAGTCCCTCTAGCCGGGGTCTGCCAGCTCTGGGGACCACCAGCGGTTGGTCTCTGGGCTTCGAGGCAGGACTCTCCCCGAGGCTGACCCGGCAGCTTCTGCGCTTTCCTCTCTTGGAAGGAAGCAGCCAGACCATCGCCCCCCACCGTGGCTATAAGGACGCTCAATGAAAGCCACCAAATCCCCGGTGGCTCTGCCAGTAGCAATCCCCCCCCCCTTGCTGAGTTTTCTCATTCAGGTGCCACACACGGCAGGGAGATGCTGCCGACAGCATTCAAGAAAAAGAGAACGCGGCTACATGGCTGGCACGAGGAAAGCCTTCCTGGCAACCTCCCTGTGGGCCCCTCACCAGTTGCTGCAGGAAGAGTAGACGGTGGCCTTTGGTGGCACTTCCTCCCCCAGGGAGAGCCTCCGGCCCTGGACAGTGAGGAGGGGATCCGCAGAGTGCTTCTGGAACATCTTCAGGGACTCCTCAGTGAGGACGCAGGGGCACTCCTGAGCCACAGAAATCGACAGAAATAGAGAGGAAGAAAGAGCATGTGTGAGAAAGAGAGAGAGGGCTCCCAGGAAGATGTCCAAACGGATGCATGCCTGCGTGCGCATCAAAGGAGCCACACTGGTGCTTCCTTAAGAGTAAGAGTTTTCTCCTTCAAGGGCCTGTCCATCACACCCCTTCCATCCCCAGATGGAAACTCTGGCTCTCAGACCTTTGCTCTAAAAGCAAAGTATTTCCTACGATTCAGGAAATACTTTAATAGGAACAGGAGGTGGGAAGGTGACAGCTGGCTTTCACACCCTTGCTCAATTCCACGCCAGTCCTGGCTTCTGCTCCCACCTCAGACTCCTCAGCCAGAGAAGAAGGCCCAGGACTGGGTGAGATGCCACCGAGCAGCGGTTCTTAGTAGCATCCTTTCCTGCACTGTTAAAAACTGTCAGGTCTGAAGGCTACGAGCCTACCCCATCTTTCACAGCCTACAAATTAGCTTGCTTTCATTCCCGATGGGTCACCAGGAGATACAGGACACTTCATTTGGATTGCTCAGAGTGGATATGGCCAGTTCAGCTGAAACCCAAATGCAGCTTCTTCCAAAAATGTCTTCACCATTCCACCCAGTTTGACCCAGAGTGCTGATGGTCAGAGTCTTCAAAATGAATCAGGAGTCCCAACTTAATAGCCCTGACGAATTCAGGAGCATCGACTCTATAAGAGCAAGCAGGTGGTGGAAAGAGAAAGCGAGAGAACGACAGAGAGAGAGAGAGAGAGAGAGAGGAGGTCCTAACCTCGACGCAGCCTCCCTTGTGCTGGTAGGTGCCCACTGGGCAGTGGCACCCCTCTTCGCAGCCATCCGAGAAGCACTCCATCCGGTGAGTGAGGTGGGCACAGCTGTAAGGACACCCTTCCTCCTGCAGGCACTCCCGATACAATCGGCCAACCGGGCAGCCCACCTCTGAAAGCGGGGAGGAGAGACGCCCGAGTCATACCCGGCTGGCACACAAGAAGTACGCAGGAATCCTCCCTGGAGGAAGTTCCCCAGGAGGCGACCTCTACCCGCCCCCCCCGGAGCAGGTGCAGCCAACAGGTGAGGGAAAGAGAAGGATCCCTCTTGTCCTGGTCGTCCCCATGCCCCACTCCGCCATCATCCACGGGGGGGGGGAATGTCCCCACCACCCAGCAAAGCTGCCTGGATCTGGCTCAGGATCGAAACCCCTACCTTTTCCAGGAACCCCAGAACAGTGGAGCTGGATGGGACCCGCCATGAGGGCCACTGAGCCCAATCCCCTGGCACACAGCTGGGAAACATAGCCTTCTCCACAACACCCAGGACAGCCGCCCCCAGGAGACTGTGAAGTGTCCCCCACAACCGCCCGGTGAGGTGGGTTGGAGGGAGAGATCTGCCAGGGCCCGAGGAATACGTGCGAGCTGGATCTCTCGGAAGGATCCTCTCGTCCTCTGTACCACAGGGGATCCCACGGTGGATCCCGAGGGGTGAGGAAAGGGCTTGCTTGGGGAGCCAGTGGACTCACCGAGGCACACCTGGGTGTTGCATGTCTTGCTCTGGACCGGCAGCCCCTGGCAGTCCGGCCGAGGACACTGGCGATGGCGCACCTGCTCTCCCCCTCCGCAAGAGACGCTGCAGGGGCCCCACGGGGCCCAGGGACCCCACGCCTCCACCTCCTCCTCCTCCTCCTCTGCGGCATATGGGGAAAGCAAGACTCCAATAAGCTCCCTGGAGAGACAGACCCACCCTCCCGTTCCTCCGATCCTTTGCTCCTGTGGATCGGAGGCCCAGCCGGCAGCGAAGCAGCTGGATTGCACCCAGGGTGGCCCCAATCCGCCTCCTAGAAGGAGAGAGGCAGACACTCCCTTCACCCTCAAAGAATGCAGGCCAAGTCCTTCAAAGGACCACGGAGGGTTTTTTCCACAACAAAAAAGAGGATGTTTTTAGGCACATCAAGATGCCTTCTTTGCCCAAGAAAGGGACCCCCACCCGCTGGTCTTCCCTTGCCCCCTCCCTCCCTCCCTCCCTCCCTCTGGCTGCCCCCTCCCACCCCGATCCTCACCTGGGCAGCCCTGGCTTTGGCAGGGCCTCTGCTGCTCTTTGCCTCCCAAACATCCCCGGCCCCCATTCTGGGGAGCTGGGTTGTCGCACCCCCGGAAGCGGAACTGGGCCCCCTCCCCACAGCTCTGGGTGCAAGGAGACCACGGCCCCCATGTGCTCCAGCCCCCATCCAGGTGACATAAGGGGTCCACACGACACTGCAGGTGTCCGGCCACGCAGGTGCTGGGGGAGAAAACAGCGGGGGGGGGGAAGAGAGAAGGCTTGTGAATCTTGGCTCTCCCAGATCTGAAATGTAGCCCAGGACCCAGGAGAGAATCTCCCATTTTGGGCAGGGTGGGGGTGGGGGGGAGAGTGGACATTGGGTTTGGGTGTTGGGCAGCAAATGGCCCTTGAGGAGTCTCTGGAAGAGGGGCCGGAGGCTGCTCAGGATCTGAGATGCAGAGAGGGCACAGAAGCAGATGCGGTCCTGTGGTTATTGTTGTGAAATGGGGAATGGGAATGGGAATGCCCCCTTGATTTTGGCCTTGGGCAGCAAAATGCCTTGGGACGGCCCTGCTGGTGTTCAAAGCTCACAGGGCCCCTCCCTTCCTCCCTCTCCCTTCTCACCAGTTCTGGCAGGGCCCGTAGACGGTCTCCCCCGGCTGAGCGATCTCCCAGGGAGGCAGTCCTGCCCAGGGGGACGAGAGGTTCCCTCTTTCGGGGGCACCTGTCGGGAAGAGGGGAGAGGAGCACCAAGTGGCTAGAGGGGGGGTCTCCATCAGCCTCACGGAAGGACGTGGCATGGCCCGCTCAGCCTCCTTCCGCTAAGACGGCGTCACCCACCCTCCTCAAAGCAAAAACACACCCTGGGATTTATACCCCTCACCTCTTCCCCCCCCCAAAAAAAACCCACCACCCCCACCATGAACTCAGGCAGCCCCCTTCCACACCCGGCTCTCTCCACGGGGGCTCGGCAACCACAGGCTCCCATCACAGCATGTTGCCCGGGGTGATGGGAACTGTAGTTGTACCCCTCCGGGGGGGATGCTATGAATCGTGGCTACCGGACAGGCCTTGGTGGAGGCCGGTGTTTAGAAAAGGTTTCTAGCATAGCCCCGCTGCCCCTCAGACCTATTTTCCGGTTCTTGAGTGGAGGCCATTGGGAGGCCCTTCCCCTTGCTCCTGATCATAGGGGGCAAGGGGGGGTGTCTTCCCAGAAGGGCTTTCTAGCTCACATCTATTCAGTCAGAACCACCCGCGCGCCCCGGCACGGCCTGTCCCCCACCGCCCCCAGTTCATCTTGAGAAGGCAGAAGCCTTAAGTGAGGGTGAAGGGACCTTTTGGACAAATGAAACCAAGGAGTGTGGGGGTGTTTTTTGAAATGGGGAGGGCTCAAAGGCGCAAAGGGAGGTCAGGAGGAAAACGCAGGCAGGATTTGGAGGCCCCTGCCGGGATGGGAGCAACACTCACCCAGCTGGGCGTCCCGGTACTTGCAGGGGCACTGGGCCGGAGGGACGCAGGTGTCGTCCTGGAGCAGCTGCTTGTTGGGGCAGGCGCAGGCCGGCTGGCAGCCTGGGCTGTCTGAGCAGGCGGTCTCCGGGTGCAGATCCTCGCAGGTGCGCGGGCAGGCCTTGCCACAGGGGAAGGACACCTGGCCCCCACCACAGCCTGGTGGAGAGACAGGAAAAGCCACCCGAGGCTCTTCTCTGTGCCCCTCCTGGCAAACGGTTCTGCTGCCCATCCAGCTGGTGTGGATCCAGAAGCACCGTGCCTCCCCCAGCCGAGCCCCTCGCCCTGGCAAGGGCATTGCACAGCCCCAGCACAAACTGTGTGATGCCTACAACAGAGGCACCACTACTCCTGCGCAGGAATTTGCATGGCCTCCGCACTCAAGCAGCCACGTGGGATAACCGCCACACATACGAGCAAGCCATTTGTCTGAAGTACTTGTTCATACCCTTTGGGCAAACGTCCTACCAGATCATCCTAGGGGAACACTGCGCGGGATTTACCCAACTTCCTACACAGGAGCAGCTCCTCCTACGTAGGACACCCAGCTGGTATTTGAAATAGCTTGGCTATTATTCTTATTTATTGATTTATTGGCCAGATTGATCTTGCACTTATTTGTTTCAGGCCCAGAGGCTGCGTGTATTACTCCACAGGCTGTCTGCAGGCCGGGGAGGGGCGGGGGCTGGCTCCCAGTAGCATAGCCATTCCATCCCGTAGGGAAAAGGGGAGTCGAAAACTGCAAATATTCCCACAGGGCCGTCGCTTCTCCTCACCTTCACAGTGAGTGCGTCCGTCATGGCAGGGGTGGCTCTGCCGGGCTTCTCCGGGGCACGGCAACCCCCCAAAACGGGCTGGGGGGTTAGTGCACTCTCTGGTCCGCACAGACTCGCCGGCACATGCGTTGCAAGAGGTCCACCCAGTCCACGTGCTCCAGCCCCCGTCCACTGCCAGGCACAGAAAGGGTGCATGTGGGGCGGGGGGGGACTGTGTTTGGGGAGCCTAGCCCAGCCTCAACCACAGGAGTGCATTGGGAGCTAAGCTAGATGACGATGGGGAAGAGGCGTCCTGTGGATGGGATCCTGGGCAAGGTTTGCCCCCTGACCCACAGCAGTTGCCAAACCTGGTGTGTGTGTGAGGAAGGGGATTTGCGCTCACAACACATCCTGCCCCGAGAGCTCTGGAGGGGGACTCTTCGGTTATTGCAGCCCACCCACCCCCACCTTCCTGCCTGAGCCTTTGTACCTGGGCAGAAGGTGGCCGTGGGGCACTCGGTCCTCTGGAGCTGAACCCCACTCTCTCCGTGGTACTCCTGAACCCCCTCGCACTCGGGACCGCCATGCTGGGGCTTGGGGCAACTGCAGGTCCGGTAGCGGGTCACCATCTCCTGGCCACACGTCCTGGAGCAGGGGCTCCATGGGGACCAGTCACACCAGCCGCCCGGAACTGGGGTGGAGGGAGAGAGAGATGCAAAGAGGTCACTGGAGCCCCGGAGCCCCGACCCCCTCATCCCTCCTCCTCCCCCCCCTTCACACAAGGATGCTGAAAGAGCCGGACAAGGCATTGGACTCATCGTGGGGCAGGGCTGGGCCACCTGCAAGTCTCCGGGCTACTCCCATCAGCCTCATGGGGGGAGTATCCAACCTATAACTAGAGACCCGGAGTGGGGGGGGCATGCGGGAGAGATGTGGTGGAGAACCTCCAGCAGCCCAGGGGGCTCCGTGCGCTCTGCACCAGACCCTGCCTCCCTGAAATGGGCACCCCTGCCCCACCCCCAATTTTCTTTTACAATTAAACAGCTCCCACTTGGGGGGATTTTCACCCCATGTTTGCCCCACATACCTGTCCATACTTTCTTCAGAACTGGAAGTGACTTCAAGAAGGTGAATCTGGGTGGGTGGGGCTTGAGGGTGATCTCAAGACACCCACAGGCCGCAGTTTCCCCATCCCTGATACAGAGATGATGATATCTTGTGGTCTCCCCCCACCCCCCATCTTGAGCAGCTGACCTGCCAATATGTGGATTGCTACTTGCAGTCTCACTTCCTTCCTACTTCTTCTCCACATGTGAGTTGCGGTGGTTCCCCCTGATTTACCCAGCATGGAGTCCTTTTGAGGAGGCCAGCCAATCCCTCTAGCATGGAGCCAGCTTATGGACCTCCTGAGACCATAAATCATCTCCCCCGCTCCAACAGAGGCATTTGTTTTTGCCTAAGTGCTAGTTTCCAGAATACGGTCTCCTCTTCAACAGCCACCCGCTCCGCGTGAAGCCCCTGCACTCTGCCGGTCGAAGGCAACCTCCGGCATCTGGCAGGGCGCCTTCTGTCCCTCTGGCTGCCCAAAAGACTCACCTGCGCAGGCCTGGTGGGTGCAAAGCAGCTTCCCTTGGGAGCAGGTGCTAGAGGGACGGAAGAGGGAGACCCGGTGGGGGAGTGAGCCTCGCCGGGCTGGTTGGCCATCCCAGCCAGACCTTGGGGGAGACCCGGCTGGCACCACCCCGCCTCACCTTCCCCTCCCCTCCCACCC